CTTTGAGAAACCATAACTTGCTATCAAATATAGTAAGGTAGCGCAAATATAACTCACTGTGTAGCATATGGTCGGTTGTGCAGCAGCGCTAAATTCGGAGTTGAAAAAGAATTCTTTGCGAGAAGATATTTGAAAATATTTTGAAAGTACTCATTTTTTCGACTTTTCTGAGAATTTGAAAAATCGCTTTTCTGAAACTTTTGAATTTTTCCGAAGCTGAATGGAGAGAACGGCTCTCCATTTTTTCAGCCATAAATGTCTAAAATCTATTCTTCCTATATAAAGCAGAAGCTCCGCAGTTGCTTCGCGTTGAAGATTTTTATGTAAGGCAAACGGACCACAGCGACCGTTGAATTTTGCTTCGAAATTTCTCGGCTCAGATGTTTTCAGAATTTGTGATTCAACATGCCTTTTGTAATATAGCTTACTCAAAAATACTATGTAAATTTGCAGAGAATTCCGATTGTTTTTGGTGATTTTAGAGCCAGGTATATTAAAAGAAAGAATTTCGAGATTTGGTTTTTCAAATTCGTGGGCTCAGAACTTCTAAACAAATTCACTTCCACTGAAACGAAAGAATGCATAAGAAACTAGAAGAAAAGAGATTTCAAAAGATGTGCAAAACTCTCTGAGAAAACACTTTCCCTTTCTAAACCAGCATTTTGAAGAAGGTGCGCGAAAAACCTGCATTAATTCTGTTACAACCTAATATTAGGTCGTTCCGAAAGTAATGTCGCTTTTTTCAAACGTACGCCACATCTCGTGGAACAAAGATGTGTAAGAGAATCTGGAAGCATTTGATGAAGCATTTTATTCCCTTTCTAATAGTTATATAAGCATTGCATAATACTCAATAAGCTCTTGAAAAATTACCAAAAACTGCGACCTATGCTTTTTGAAAAGGTCAAGTTTTACAATTTTTCTAAATTTTCACAACAATCATCGGAAGGAATCCAAGTAATGGACAGATAGACCAAACCCTACAGAAAACAGCACAGTTTTTTCTTACTTTCCAGAGCTCGTCATAATTTTTCAATAGATTTTTTTATGGAACCACCGAATTTTAGCAGCCTCGTCTCAGACACAAACGCATCAAACACCAATAAATCTCCGGCTTTTAAAACTTACAAAGATGGATTATGGTTTGACACTAATTTTACAAACCAAATGAGCGTTTACCGCTTCAAATTAGCAACATTCGGAAACTTTGAGTGCAGCCTGGGGCACCTTGGAAAACTTGAATTATGATGATTTTATCTCGAAAAACTTTACTAATCGAAAACCAAGAACAACTGATAGAAAGAGGAGGGAAAGCTGCGTCGAATGACATTCGGGTTGCTCGCCGGTTGTTGTTCTGTGAGGTTTGAGTTGCCTAATATGGAATTTGATGGCATTGAAAAATTGGTTCCAGAAACTCTAAGAAGCAAGCTAAGGGAAAGAAAAAAATTACTTTGTGTCCTATAAGTTCTGCTCTCTTTATCTGTCACTCGTACTTCTTCGGAGGATAAGTATAAAAATTTAGAAATATAGCCGAACTTGACCATGGCAAAAAGCATGAGTCGCAGATTTTAATAATTTTTCGCGAGCTTATTGGATATTATGCAATGAAATTACAACCATTAAAAAGAGGATGAAATGCTGCATCGAATGCTCCTAAGATCTCTTGGAAATATTGATTCCGTGGAATGCGTTGTTCATCTGGAAAAAGCGACATTACTTTCGGAACGACCTAATATATCGATTCAAAAAACATTTCAATTGCGCGATTTTGATACCCATGCAGACCACTTTCGAAAACTTCGCGGAGCTTTTCGTCTCCCACCCACTCCACTTGCTCCGCTGGCAGGTGCATACAATACCGCTCACAGAATGTGTAAAATTTCCGTGAATGTCGCAGAATTCCAGGAATTCCGCGAAGGTTCGCGAAATTTTGGGAATTCCGCGAAATTCCGGAAATTTCGCGAAATTCATGTGAATCACGCAAATTAGCAGGGCACTTCTTTCCGAATGAGTATATTCGAAATCCGAAAACAGCATTATATTCAGCTCGTCAAGGGGAATATTTTGGTATACAGGTTGTATCCAATACCTTGTTTTCAATCTTGAAATTGCACGCGGACGCCTCTTCGCATGGTGGTAACGCAACGAGCATCACACATAGGAGACTGCTGTGGGCACCGTTTGATAGTATTCTTTCATTAGATTATTGTGCGCTAAACAGCAGCCGAAGACTTTCAAAAGAGATAGAAAAGCTGATAAACTCTGAAAAAATCAAGCTGCTCCAAGTTCTACTAGCCGTAACTTCCTTCAGAATGAACATTTTCGAAATCCGAAAGCAGCATTATGTTCATCTCGTCAAGTCGAATCTCACTGTGTACAGCATGCCCTTGAAATTCCGTTTCCAATTTTTTCAAAATTTTCTGCGCGCGTATATTCACAAGTTCGCAACGCTGCGTACATCAAACATAAAAGACTCCAATAAGACTGTTGGATTGTGCTGCTTTCGCAGATTATCGAGCGCTAAAAAGCAACCGGAGAATCTTCTTGAAAAAAATTAGAAGAGCTGGTGAATTCTGGAAAAATCGCGTTGTCTCAAATTTTGCCCACCGTGACCGTAAAATGAGAAGCTCTACTGCTTAGCAGATGTATTTTCGTAATCAGCAGGTCAGATAACCCTATGAGCAAGTTTTCAAAGAAATTCGGGTGATTTGATTTTTTCTCGTTCTACGCCCTGAAGCTCGCCATGGATTTTGGTCAAAATGTCGATGATCTCGGATTGTAAGGAAACTTCGCTCAAAGAGGTTTTCGAAAACGCTGTTTACGATAATCGTCTTTTGCGCGGAGTACAGAGTTTTCTAGCAGAGATATGGTGAAGGAACTTTAGCTAAGCCACGAAAGTTCGTAGATTCGCCTGCATTTTTCGAGCACCTCTTAGAAAATCTGCTTGCTTGCCTCTGCAGGTCAAATTCACTAGAAAGCGTGCTATTTAATGATGCACGCGTCCGGCTTCAATCTTTAGCAATCGCCGAGTTAGGGGCCTACGAAATCACGTCCTCATGAGTTTTGTCCAAAATGTAAAGATCACCTGCTTCGTAGAAATTCCACCTAAGTGACTATAAGACACTGTGGTCGCGAATTTTATGTTTTCTTACAGTTACTTGGGTAGAATTTCTACGAAGCAGGCGATCTTTACATTTTGGACAAAACTTATAAGGACGTGATTTCGTAGGCCCCTAACTCGGCGATTGCTACAGATTGAAGCCGGATGCGTGCATCATTAAATAGCACGCTTTCTAGTGAATTTGACCTGCAGAGGCAAGCAAGCAGATTTTCTAAGAGGTGCTCGAAAAATGCAGGCGAATCTACGAACTTTCGTGGCTTAGCTAAATCCTTCACCATATCTCTGCTAGAAAACTTTGTACTCCGCGCAAAAGACGATTATCGTAAACAGCGTTTTCGAAAACCTCTTTGAGCGAAGTTTCCTTACAATCCGAGATCATCGACATTTTGACCAAAACCCATGGCGAGCTTCAGGGCGTAGAACGAGAAAAAATCAAATCACCCGGATTTTTTTGAAAACTTGCTCATAGAGGTTATCTGACTTGCTGATTACGAAAATCACATCTGCTAAGCAGTAGAGCTTCTCATTTTACGGTCACGGTGGGCAAAATTTGAGACAACGCGATTTTTCCAGAATTCACCAGCTCTTCTAATTTTTTTCAAGAAGATTCTCCGGTTGCTTTTTAGCGCTCGATAATCTGCGAAAGCAGCACAATCCAACAGTCTTATTGGAGTCTTTTATGTTTGATGTACGCAGCGTTGCGAACTTGTGAATATACGCGCGCAGAAAATTTTGAAAAAATTGGAAACGGAATTTCAAGGGCATGCTGTACACAGTAAGATTCGACTTGACGAGATGAACATAATGCTGCTTTCGGATATCGAAAATGTTCATTCTGAAGGAAGTTACGGCTAGTAGAACTTGGAGCAGCTTGATTTTTTCAGAGTTTATCAGCTTTTCTATCTCTTTTGAAAGTCTTCGGCTGCTGTTTAGCGCACGATAATCTAATGAAAGAATACTATCAAACGGTGCCCACAGCAGTCTCCTATGTGTGATGCTCGTTGCGTTACCACCATGCGAAGAGGCGTCCGCGTGCAATTTCAAGATTGAAAACAAGGTATTGGATACAACCTGTATACCAAAATATTCCCCTTGACGAGCTGAATATAATGCTGTTTTCGGATTTCTAATATACTCATTCGGAAAGAAGTGCCCTGCGTAATTTGCGTGATTCACATGAATTTCGCGAAATTTCCGGAATTTCGCGGAATTCCAGAAATTTCGCGAAATTCTCAAAATTTCGCGAATCTTCGCGGAATTCCTGGAATTCTGCGACATTCACGGAAATTTTGCATTCTGTGAGCGGTATTGTATGTAGGCCTTCTACTCAGACAATTGGAAACTCTCAGCGGGCAGCCACGAAGCCGCCACCAATCCCCACCAAAAGCCCCCGCGCCTTATCGCTGCCACTGTGGATGCCCGCTGAATGCCATGTGGCTTCCACATCACTGCCGCTTCATAGCGGCCCGCTGACTGCCAGTTAAAGCAGCCCGCTCAATGCCATTCAAAGGATCCCGCTGACTGCCAGTTAAAGCAGCGCTCAGTGCCATTTAAAGGATCCCGCTGACTGCCGCTTATATTAGCCCGCTCAGTGCCGCTTACCGCATTCGCTCCTTTTCGGTTTCCACTACTCCCTCTGTACTTGCACTATAAACAAGCTAGGCATCATCTTTTATTAATCAATTGCCCGAAAGAATGCGATACTTCTAGTAATTTAGTATAATGCATTAAGGCATATAACAATAACTCAACGAGGAACAAATACAGAGGAAAGAAATCAACTCAAAAGATCATTTAGAGTGTCTTAATACACGTACATGTAATGATATCTCAAAGCAAACGAGGTAAAGATGAACGAATTGAGCTCACATTGAATGTCAACCTATACTGCAACATAACAGGTAATAGCAAATTAACAGAGAACACGATACAGATAAACCAGATAAAGTCAAAATGCAAGATCAAGGCATTGAGGAGAAATGAGGATGTCCATGCAGGAAGAGATTTGAGGTGTTCTGCTCCAAACAAAATAATCAGGACTAACCATTTGATAGATTTTTAATGCATACCTTGATCGATTCGACAGCTTACTCAAGCGACAATGCGAGGTATGCCTGGTTTTGGTTCTGCAGTTCTCTGAGTTCTATCACTGGGTTAGTTTCTGGTGCTGTTCTTCTTCTTTTCTGGAAATAAACTTAGTCGCTTTTTGCAGGATTATAAGAGATCAAGAATTTTTCGACAACTACTCACCGCGTGTGACAGCCACTGTTGTTTTTCCATGTCGTATTCATAAGATCTGATATCCCTCCTGCATAATATTTACTGATTTTTACTTCAACCAAACCTTAGAATATAAAACTCACAAGGCAAGCTGCATCCCTTTTAGTATTTCGGATTTGTATAAATCAAAATCTGCTAACAACTCGTCTAATTTCTTCTGGCGGTCCTTTTCGTTTTCGCCAAGCTCGATGTAGAAGCTAGAAATTTGTGTTTTGATCCTGATAACCATTCTTTCAAAAAAGTTACCGAGTCCTTACATTTGCCGCTCTTTTTCCAAGCCTCAACTGGGGATCGCCTAACCCGATTAAATCCAAAGCAAAATCTGAAATCGGAGTGATGCTGATGTCTGCACAGTACTTGTTATAAACATCCCTACCCTGGAGTGTCACTTCAACTGCTGCCGGTAAATTTTGCAGGTGCTTTTCCCTCCAGTACTCTGCGTTGATACCACTGCTTTAATCTTGGATTTGCTGAGGAGGCTCCGTCAGCTGAAAGTTCTCCAATGATTAGACGTACTGCGCGCGCAGGGAGAAGTAAACCTGCTGGAAGATAAAGCGAAATACGCGGGCGAAGTTCTGATAGCAAGGCTCAGTGTCGTTGAAGCTAAAGCGCACCAGCAGTTCAGGAATTTCGACCTAAACCTCTAATTTGCGCGAGTAGTGTATAACAGCCAGTGACACTTACGCGCTTGAATGGTGCTGCTTCGTCTAATTTCCAAGTCCTTGTCAGATTATTTAGGGACAAGACACGTGTTTGTTCGTGTGTATCCTTCGCTTTCCGTGGCTGTGATTCGAATGAACGCGCTAGCCGATCGTACTTCGCGATTTGTATCTCGCTCTGGTAAAATTGTTGATAATCGCAATTCTCACTCGTTATTTTATTCTACTTCCTGCTTACAACCCAACGTCTAAGCAAGTTAAAGCCCAGATGTCAATGTCAGACTGAAAGTGTTATCCTCTTTCGTCACTTGCGGTTTCCATCCATGTTTTCGAAACCACAATACAGATAGACCCAAAATTTTTAGAGTTTTCCTACTAATTCAATCTACACAAAAATATTCTCTGAGCATTTTGCGCTACCTACTACTTGCATTATCTTCCAATTTGTAGACATATTTTTCTTCCTCTAACGTATAATATTTAGGGGAGGTCTATTAACATTTTTGAGATAGGCAGTAGCAAAACCAATGACGTACCATCAAAAATGGGCTATGGAACTTGGCGCGGTCTGGTCAGCCGTATCAGAATCCAAGAAAAAGTCGTGGTCAAACTTCTGGACACGAAAAGCAGCTTCAGATTGGACGAATTCCTGGAAGAGTTTTTGATCATGTAGGGTATTTAAAATCAAATATCTTTACCTCGTATACAGCTTTGTTGAAAGAACGATTTTGCTTTGCCTCCAAGATTAGAGAGGCGGCAGCGCGCATATCGAGCGTAACTCCATGTATGCAATCGTACAGCGTCCTGGGCTTCCTCACGGATTGCGATGTGCTTTCCACCTGATACAATTTTGGGCGTCCAGATTTTGAGTGGTAAACGATGTTGAAGTGCGCATTATGACTTACCCTGTGGTTTACTCAACAAAGCACTAGGATCAATACTTAGGGAAAATACGCATTTCGACCCCACTTTGCATTTCACCGTAATTGCCCTTAGCTCAACTGACTACTGAAAATTAGTGTCTTTTCCCATCAAGTGTGGATTGATCAGTCCAGGGTTTCGATGTATCATACATAGAAACTGAACAGACCTATTTAGGTGGATGATACTTCTGGAAATCGAAAAAAATGGCTGTTATTCTGTTTATTTTCTATTTGAAGCATCTTCAAGAAACTGGTGCTGGTAAAAGCCAAGAATGAATGTCGCACTAAGGATGTGCGGAGTTTTGCCCTTCTTTATGAGTTGTTGAGCTGTATAACATCACCTGGATAGGTGTTGAAAGCTATATCTTACCATATAACCTAGTATAGCTTACCTATTGTCTTGTTCAAGGAAGAGTGATGACATGAGTTTGGATCATACACCATGTATAACTTTGAGAACTCAAGATAGTGTGACAATTTAACTATCGCTGAGGTCTTTCCATCCATTGATCCTGAGCTCATGCTAACGTACAGTCTATCGTAGATTACACATCGACTCAAGTTACACTCACTGAATATTAGCCGGTAGGTAGTAAACTGACTAGCTAGCATCGTCAGTGTTAGAGCTTATGATAGGATTTCTCTGAGGAACTGAAGTGAATGAAGGTGAGAAATATCAATAATCATATTTACGTCTCATTACAATTGAGGGGACTGAAACAAAAAAAAACCAGCATTCGCCATGTAGATGGCGAAAACTCAGACTAAAAGAATGGGGTGACCGGAATATAAGTCTTAGGGAACCTTCACTGAAACATTGATACGCTCGTTACCCTAGTAGAAAAACCTTGAAAGAGAGAAGGAACGATGATCCAGGGCTGAAAGTAAGAGAAAAAAAACAAAGCAACCACGAATATGCCAATTTAGAGAACGGTTCTGAAAGTAATAGACTCAGAACTGCTTATGATACACCACCTGTGTTAGGTGCGAAAAAAAACTGCTCATCTTTTGATGTCTTTGTAGTTATTGTACCCCCAAAACCTTGGACAAGAACTGATTCTGCATTAGGTTCATTTTGAAGTTCACAGGTACGCTGGTTCCACGAACACCCTGTTGGGCGCGCTAAGGGGTACTGTGGCAAACGGTGCAACGACTGCGAAATCTGAACTGTAGGAATCTACAAGCACGTCAGCATGACAATCTGTCATCCATCAATGAAAGTTGTTGCTTCTAGATTATGAGAAGAGATTTTGTGTTCTTGCCAGGTGGATCTTCTCCAAAAAAAACTAAACTGCAGAGTAAGGACAGCTTTTCCTCTCAACAATTCGACATTTATCTATGCTAAACTGTGATTGATGAAAGACAGCAATGTCAGTGTAAGTCAACACAGTCCTCACAGCGGTAATTGCTGTGATGACATGGGGTAAAGAAGAGAGAACACGCCGCCAACACAACCAGATGGCGACGAGCGATGTCGTGCGCGCAGAGCGAAAAAATTTTGCTGCCACAGCACCTTCGCCTTTTACATGCTCTTACGTATACTAGCTAATTTCCGTGAATTACGATCGAATACTGGAAGTCGCCAGTACATAAAACCCTGCACCTTTATCGGATACGATCATTTGACAAAAAGTCGATTTTCAAATAACTCGCGGTGTGGTTTTAGTACAGTCAGGAATCTAATGAATTGAAAATTACGGCTTTGTTAGTACTCTGCGTTGATACCACTGCTTAGACGGCAATAGTTGGAGCAAAGAACGATGGGTAGGATATGAATAAACTGAGTGGCATTGACGGTAGGAGAGAAATTGCTCTTTAGACTGCTGGGTTATGGCTCTAAAATCATTGGATTCCAGATCTACTCATGTTCAGCGACAATATGGAGCAAAGCATATTTATGTCTATGCCCCGTTTGTTCACAGTAAAAACGCCATATGGACAGCAATGAGCTGGAATAAACTGACGAGCGAATTGCTGGTCAGTGGGGCAAAACAATACCAACATACTGACTCTACTTTTCAATAACCGTTGAGAATGTAGAAATTGCGCCTTTGCCCCTTGAAAGCTTGCCAGCTCTCGCCTCAGCTCAATAACACCGCTTTGACAGCGGTAAACCTTTCTTTCGTAAGCTAGCATATGTAGTGTGTAATCGCATCATCTGCATTTATAAATACATATGAACGATGTCGTATGATGTTGAGCAACACGACCAAGATGGCAACTTTTCTTTATTAACTTCGGCCAACGTTTCGGCGCAATCGCCTTCGTCAGAGCCTAGAAAGTCGAATACATAAGGATCCCATTCCTCAGACGTCAACGAAGAAGCAAGATAATTCAATTGGAAGCTAGTACGAAGGAAAGAAACAGAGCCACGGCTGAGCAATACTCACCTTAATCGTTGCATAGGGGGTACGAGGGACCACCAACTATGCAATAACTATACCTCTGCCCTATTTATAGTAATGAGGTGACCTGACCTAGCCTCAGAAACCGCAAAGGGCCTGATATGGCGCGAGTTCGTTGGTTATTGCAATACACTCCTCCTTCCGGTTCATTTTTGGATTTTTAGCGCTGATCCAAAACGCTTCCAAAGTCTTGCGCGATAGGACTTCGGGTTCATAGGACAAAATCGAGACCCCAATTTGTATTTCAGCATTTTCGTGTTGCCGTAAGCGATGAGTACTCTGCGTTGATACCACTGCTTACTTGTTCAGTCCATCCAGATGTTCCTTAATGCGACAGCAAAGCGGGCGCCCTGTTTCGCCTATGTACGTGTCGCCACATGATATATATACATATACATCATCACATGTTTATCATGTGGCGACACGTACATAGGCGAAACAGGGCGCCCGCTTTGCTGTCGCATTAAGGAACATCTGGATGGACTGAACAAGTCAAGGACCAGTACACCGCTCGGTAGTCATCGCTTACGGCAACACGAAAATGCTGAAATACAAATTGGGGTCTCGATTTTGTCCTATGAACCCGAAGTCCTATCGCGCAAGACTTTGGAAGCGTTTTGGATCAGCGCTAAAAATCCAAAAATGAACCGGAAGGAGGAGTGTATTGCAATAACCAACGAACTCGCGCCATATCAGGCCCTTTGCGGTTTCTGAGGCTAGGTCAGGTCACCTCATTACTATAAATAGGGCAGAGGTATAGTTATTGCATAGTTGGTGGTCCCTCGTACCCCCTATTGCAACGATTAAGGTGAGTATTGCTCAGCCGTGGCTCTGTTTCTTTCCTTCGTACTAGCTTCCAATTGAATTATCTTGCTTCTTCGTTGACGTCTGAGGAATGGGATCCTTATGTATTCGACTTTCTAGGCTCTGACGAAGGCGATTGCGCCGAAACGTTGGCCGAAGTTAATAAAGAAAAGTTGCCATCTTGGTCGTGTTGCTCAACATCATACGACATCGTTCATATCTATGCCAAGATTAAAGAACAGTCGGAGTTGGAAGATATAAATACATATATATATATATATATAAATTTTCAAAACGACAGCGTTTTTGACTTAGGCGTCAAAAAATAAAAACATAGCGTAACATCAGCAGAGTACGGACCGTACATTTGATTTGACGCCTAATATCAGAAAAGTGAGAATTTCTTATTTCTGACCGTCTTTTCGAGCCGATTGCATCATAGAACCAAAAAGGCATATGCTGAAACTGAGACTTCCAAAAGTACTTCAAAGTGAAATTCAGTAATCACAAGAACCAATCACGGCCAAAATTGGGATTTATATGTTTTCGAGATCATTCTTTTCAGCAGCAATGTCTGTTTTGCATAAAAGGTCAGGAGTTACAAAGAGACACAAGAGCTACAAAACAATTTCTGAAAATCAGAATCCAACGGTTAGAACTACAGAACCTATACTAGAACCTTTTACAATTATCTGTGGGTGAAACTAGAAACTTGGCTGCACTTGATCGTAGTTGCGCATGTATTACGGGCTCCCCCTTCCCCGCGTTGAGAGGTTCTGACCTCATAAAGGTTTTCTTCGGGCAAAATGCCACAGGCGCACAAAAGTTATGACCTGAGCTCATGTAGACATAATCACTTGACTGGTATTTCGGAGATGCCTAATGATTATCCATAGATCCATTATCAAGCAAAACTTATTTACCGTCTTGTTGGCTAAAAGCGGTGCACCTGTTATTGCGAGGTCAGTGATGTCGTACGCATATTACGTGTACGAATAGCGAAATGAAAGAACTTATGATTTTGGCGTGAGCTCATTATTCAACCTTCACCTTGAACATTTTGCTGAAATTGAATTTGGATTTTGAAAAGTTGTTTAAAGTTCTAGCATAGCTGGAAAAAGAACAACATCGAAAACATATAAATCCCAGTTTTAGCTGTGATCTGTTCATTGTGATTACTGTACTACGCTTTGGAGTACTTTTTGAAACCCTCAATTTCAAAGTTGCGGGCTACCCTGGTTTCCATGTTGGCGAGAGACAAACTCGATAATATTTTTAGCGAAGTTTGTGCAGTTACAGCGGCTACGCAATCTCTCTACGCTTGGTTTTGAATACTGTGCGTCGATGACCCGTTCGGTTCTATAATGCAGTGGAGTCGAAAAGACGGTCAGAAAAAAGAATTTCTTATTTTTCTGATAATTTCTGATAGTTCTTCTTTAATTGTGGTAGTTTTTGCACAGAGACAGCAGATGGTAGGAGAAAACGAGAGAGCGGTCGATTGGAGCGATCGAAACTTGTTAATCAGAGAAATGTTAGATTGAAGAGTTTGAAGAGACAGTTTTAGTCGGAAAATGAGTGCAAAAGCTTTGAGAAAAAACTGTGAATCAGCACTTACCTGCAGCTGGTGATCCTTCATGGAACTTTTCTTGATTTTGAGGTGCTTCTACTCGCATCACGTCACCTCGTTTATCCAAACTAAATTCTTCCCTGTCTGCACTGTCGCGTAAGCGTGAGATGGTCCGTAGCTTTGCATGTTCGTGTTCCACCTTGGCATGAAACATTTCTAAAGATGATTGGTGATAAGCTGCAAATACTTATAAGCATCGATCTCACTTCTACATTTTCTTGCTCCGGTGTCTTCGTATCGGGGACGTCTTTTGAGAGCCATAGAAACATGCCAGAAGTTACTTGCAAAATTTCGACACCCAGTTTGAAATTAGCGATTGGGAAAGAAAGCGTCGATCGCTTCTGAAATGATATCGTGTGGATGATGACATCAAAAGGTTACTGAGTACAAAGCAAAGGTCGACGAGCATGTGAAAGCAATTAGTGGAATTGGTATGACAAGTCATCATGGTAGGCGCCGACTAAGCGAGTAGCTTATTCAACTTGGGGTCCCGCGCAGAATTACCGTCATTTGCGACACGCTGGCGGAAATCAAAGCGGAGTCTCCCGCAATGATATATTTTCCATATACTGCGATGATGAGGAGTAGAGAAGAGAGAAAGAGTGAGTAAGAGAGACAGAGAGACAGAGACAGAGAGATAGAGGGAGGTTTACCACTCTAATATTTCGACAGTTGCAACAGTCTCGCGTAACTGCTTTTACCTTACCGTGTTTGATCCGCTCAAATAGTCGGTATGAGTTATATAACACAAAAGCTCAGAAGCCCAAAAGCGCCCGAAAAAATCCCAAAAGCGGCCAAAAAGGCCCAAAAGCGCCCAAAGAAGCCGGAACGCCCCCTTCTGCGCGCAAGTTTTGGGGTAGGGGAATGTGTATTGATCCAGCAATCAAGCCATTTTGCTTTATTTACTATCGTCCGCACATCAAAATAATGTCGGGATTCTACCAAAAGTGATGATTATGAAGCAAGAGCAAGGACGCACGACCATCTTTTTCAATGAGTCATCGTACAGCTGATGGTGCTATCGCGGTTCCGTATCTTAAGGGCCGAGCATACTCTACGCGATTTCATCGCGACGCGGTTTGGCAATTTGCCAGAACTCTTCAGATGCAACACTAGCAAACTGCACATGCATGGTGTGTATGACTTAAGTGGGTTGACAAAATACGCTATCTTTTGTACATTCAAACTGTGCCTACAATGAGTTACGGACAGCTAAAATATTGCCAAACCGCGTCGCGAATGAAATCGCGTGAAGTATGCCCGGCCCCTTATGCAACAACCATCAAAAGCAAACGAAAGTTATGGAAACTCACAAAAACACGAATTAAGCTTCAATCTTCAATGTCTTCAAAGTTCAAACAATTCAAACTGGAGAAAGCACGGTACCCACTGTCGTGGAGAGGACATATACAGAGAAGAAGCTAACAAAAGAAATTCCGTCCAAACTACACACCACGATCTCAACAAAAGAGAATAGTGGTGCCATATTTGCTAATCGAGATTACTGAATGCAATAGAGAGAGAAAATCTGTGGGAAAGCAAATGAGATACATATAAGGATGAGATTAAGACGATAAGCTCGGATACTGACGGACGCACAGGAAGAATCAATGACTAATGACGCCGTGCTCTTTCTTGCAAAAGACACGTATCTACATGTGCACAGATGAGCACTGCACAAATCAATCGATATTCAGCAGATACATGTTATCGGTGCCCGCTCATAGCATCTTCACGACCCGCTCACAAAAACCTTGCTTTCGCAACCCCATCGCTTCCTGGTCGTTGCCAACTAGCTGTTATCGCTGCCTTGTCGTCGCATTCTGGGTGCTTTTGCAGCAATAACGCGCTCTGTAGTTATTTTTCTGACTCACGCAAGATTATGGCAGCCCGCTGATAGCCTGTCGCTGCCCGCTCGCTACTTTTTCCGAGTTATCGCCGCCCGCCCACTGAAACTGCTTGCTATCGCTGCCCGCTGAGAGTTTCCGATTGTCTGAGTAACTGTCATGGAGTATTTATGCGAAATTTGTTAGTTCATAGTGGCTTACTGACTGATGTATTTTTATTTCAGTGGCTGAAGTAAACTGCTAGAATTCCTTTTTTTATTGAATATGCTTTAATCTGACACACTACAAAAAATTATTGCCGAAGAAGCTTAGCATAGCAACTGCGCCCCGAATATATTGTAATAGAAACTGTACTTTACTTTTTTTTGACCTGCCGAAAAACTTCATGGTAGAAGTGCGAATTCATTATGAGCTTACAGAGTGGAAATGTCTTGTAAAATTTTGTGGACTTGCTGGCGCCATCATTTTAGCCTCATTAAAAGGAGCGCTATGCAAATATAGAAGTAGGAGCAGTTGCATCGTTGCCACATCCAATCCTTATCAGTGACATCTCAACGGATGTGGCTGAGCGTGAAAAGCTACTGTAGAAAACCTCAGAAGTCCGCCTAACCTGTAGACAGCTTAGTGTAGACTTACTGTAGATAGCCTACAATGCCGCTTGAGTATCTGGAAGGAACGCAACCGAGGTTCGCCAAACTGCGCGTCGTGATCTATCGACTGATGTGGACGAATTTTGAGTAGAAGGGTACCAGACAATTCGGCTCGACCAGGCGCATTTTTTGATGCATGGGGTGGTTCTGTATACGGGTGTACGGTAAATAGCCAATGTTCTGTTACGTTCCAAAATGTTAGATTTTTGCTTACGGTAGGGTCGCTCACAATCAGTGTGCTAATCACATCAAGCACATATTAGCCGCTGTTGAAACTGACTACCATCCGTATCCAGAGAAACATTTTTTGTCAAAAGATCGCGTCCTCGGGCAGAGTTGATAGCACTCAGGTTCAGAATAATTTTGCGCTAAAGCTAGTTTAACGAAGTGACTAATCTCAGCGAACCTCGGGGGTCGTCGCCGTTTTTTAACTAATTATGGGCGGCAGGTGAGCCTATTCATACTACTAACTGATTTTTTGAGAGCAGATAATTTCGAGTCTTTTGTTCATAGACGATAGCGCCAAAAATGTCGTTCTTATACAACATGTAATCTCTTCCTAAGATTGTGCGGGGCTTCGCGCAACAGGGCTCCTCCTCGACGCATATCTTGAGTAGTCTATCAGAAAATTGATGTCAGCTCGAAATGCTGTTGTGATGAGTCCTATTTTACTTTTTAATGAATGCAATGAATTCAAGTTTATCAAGCAAGTTGTTAGCGACACTCTCGTTGTCGTTGACAATTCGCGTGCTTTGGGACCATACCCTGCACGCGACTACTTTTGTTATGCCCACTGTGTTTGTAACTTTGTGTAGTTTCTTTTACAAATGCACAACATCCACTGCATTTTCTTCGTCAACCATAGCAATGAGTTGTGAGGAAATCAGCCCACCTACGACATCCCTTTAACGTTTCGTATGAATGTGTTATGTTTGTTTTATCCATAGTACAATACTTTGCATTTTTCAGTCAACAACATGCTCTACAAGCTGTATTTTCTATCGATTTTTGCGCCTGTGGCATTCGCGTGCCTTCCGCTTCCGTGTTTGAAGGGTGAGAAGGAGAGTGATGTCGACGAGCCTGCCCCGTCCGTTCCGAGCAAGGCAGATTTAAGGAGAAAGGTGAAACCAGTTTGGACGGGGCTCCCAGTAGACTTTCATGACTTACGACCCGAAATTTTATTTACATCAGATCGAAAAAGGCTTAGGACCCTTTTTTATATGCAAGGGTATAAAGATCCATACCCTACACCCAGACCCCTTCCCCGATATTTCGACTATACACTGTACGGCTTGCACAAAAGGCAGCTCAAAAAAATTAGAAAGGTTGGAAATCTTCATAGCTATGCGATTGCTGCTATAAGTTACATGTACAGTGTTATCTCGGATGCCATGATAAAAACCAATCGATTTTGGAAAAGTAAACGTTTCGATTACGCAGTCCTGAGATCTGCGTTCGTAGATTGCATACAGGGCTGCTGGAGAACGCAAGGCGAAGACACGGCCTGGAATTTATCCGACGCGCTTTTATGAAATGTTGTTCTCGTGTGTCCAGGTCTTTCTTACATTACAATCTGGTCGTAACGTATAAAGACTCGTGTTATGATCGTGGTCACATAAAAGTCGAACATTAATATTAGGTTGATTCGTAAGTGTGGCGTTTGCTAACAAGCTGTGTTTACGTCAATATTATACTAAGCAATTCTTCCACCTTACCTACGAAGATTGTGCCTTTTTGGGGACGCGAACTTTGAATTTATTGACTCAGCAATTTATGATCAAAGCTGCCTCTCAAAAATCAGTTAGTAGTATGAATAGGCTCACCTGCCGCCCATAATTAGTTAAAAAACGGCGACGACCCCCGAGGTTCGCTGAGATTAGTCACTTCGTTAAACTAGCTTTAGCGCAAAATTATTCTGAACCTGAGTGCTATCAACTCTGCCCGAGGACGCGATCTTTTGACAAAAATGTTTCTCTGGATACGGATGGTAGTCAGTTTCAACAGCGGCTAATATGGTGCTTGATGTGATTAGCACACTGATTGTGAGCGACCCTACCGTAAGCAAAAATCTAACATTTTGGAACGTAACAGAACATTGGCTATTTACCGTACACCCGTATACAGAACCACCCCATGCATCAAAAATGCGCCTGGTCGAGCCGAATTGTCTGGTACCCTTCTACTCAAAATTCGTCCACATCAGTTCGATAGATCACGACGCGCAGTTTGGCGAACCTCGGTTGCGTTCCTTCCAGATACTCAAGCGGCATTGTAGGCTATCTACAGTAAGTCTACACTAAGCTGTCTAACAGGTTAGGCGGCTTCTGAGGTTTTCTACAGTAGCTTTTCACGCTCAGCCACATCCGTTGAGATGTCACTGATAAGGATTGGATGTGGCAACGATGCACTGCTCCTACTTCTATATTTGCATAGCGCTCCTTTTAATGAGGCTAAAATGATGGCGCCAGCAAGTCCACAAAATTTTACAAGACATTTCACTCTGTAAGCTCATAATGAATTCGCACTTCTACCATGAAGTTTTTCGGCAGGTCAAAAAAAAGTAAAGTACAGTTTCTATTACAATATATTCGGGGGCGCAGTTGCTATGCTAAGCTTCTTCGGCAATAATTTTTTGTAGTGTGTCAGATTAAAGCATATTCAATAAAAAAAGGAATTCTAGCAGTTTACTTTCAGCCACTGAAATAAAAATACATCAGTCAGTAAGCCACTATGAACTAACAAATTTCGCATAAATACTCCATGACAGTTA